TTAGGTGTGTAGAACAGTTTTAACAGATTACATTCATTGCCCGGTGTGTTGAACTGTATGACAAAACCATTATTGAGACATCTTGGAAATGTATCCATTGCTTCAACCACCGTCAACGCTGTGAGTCATGGGTAGTTGAGAGATAAGTGTATGGATATATGCAGTCGGCTATATAAAAGTAACCTTCTGACCTATTTTATGTCATGCACAATATCACTTTTCTTTTCTAGACATATTTGACTGAATGAATCTTACTCTAAATGTTATTCTATAATAGGAATTTGTGTTAGAATAACTTTTTATTTGTAACTTTTTTTTAGCAATCTTTGGCACAAGAGTGAGTCCTTTTAAAGTTATCTTATCCTACCTTGGAGAGAAGGGAGATAGAGGGCAAAAGCACACACAGTAGCAGTAAGACTCCCTCGGCTGTCAGGATCTTGTTTTTGGTGCTCTCACTCAGATTGATTGACCTCTCCATCGGCTCTGGATCAACACACAGGGTTCAAAGGTGAAACAAACAAATACTTACATGTCTTTATAGCAAGTGGGAGTGCACATTTGAAAGCAAGAGTGTTTAAAATAATCAGATTATCACTAAGTAAGGAGATGTATTAGGAGCTGGGTTGCTATAACTGTACTTAAAGAAAACAGTCTTATAATTAAATAAATGCATAAAGAATTGTTGGTTTGTTATGTGAGAGTATTTTTTATTAATAAATGTGCATATTTCAAGGAAGAATATACTGGTTGTGTGTGTTTAATGAGATGTTGACAGTGTGACAAATGCCTCTAGTCTGCACATTAGCTTGAAAGACAACTTGATCTGATCTGTGTGCTATATAAAGTGAGTCTGTAACGAGACCCTCCTAAAGATGTACAGATGAATCAAGCTGCGATATGCAAGGATTTCTCCACTCACACTGCTTTTGGATACACTCACGTTAACAGGATTTACAGTTTATGAGGTTGTTAGCAGTGCTTAGAACTTGCTCTACCCCCACACATGAACTCACTGTAGATCTGCAGGTAGGTGCCGTGTGACAGGACGTCCACATTGTTGCCCCTGAGCTTACAGTGGTACAGCCCAGAGTCGCTCAGATGGAGGGGATCCAAGGTCAGGGTGCCGCAGTATTTGTCACCCGGTGGCACTTCTTTAGGCACTCCTTCTATCACTCGTTCTGATAGATGCACAGTGTGTATGGTTTTGTTGGTGGTTTGCTTGATCCATGTGACATTCAATGACTTCTCCCCGGTGGTGTAGCAGCACTCCAGTTCAGCTTTGTGAAAGACTTGCTTCCTCAAATAGGGCTGGTCCGGATCTAAAGTCACCTTTCTCTGAGCAGTACCCACTGTGAAGAAGCAAATAGTATTGTGTGTTTGATGCATTTGTGGGTTTGGTTTAAACCCAACCATCTGTTTAATTATTCCATTATGATTGCATATATCAAAAAATGGGTTTTTTAAAACTTGACACAAATCTAAAAAATGAGCAGTTAAATGTACAATGTATTTAACCCTTGTGTGGTGTTCGGGTCAAATGACTCGATTTCCATTTTCAATGATAAAAAAATATATAAGGGATATTTTTCGTTCAACCTGAAACTCAATGGCCGGGGCTTATTTATTGTGAAGGTCATGTGGAATTGTTTTTATTTTTTTCCACTTATGAAAAAATGCCCACCCGCATTTATGTCCTTCATAAGAGGTTCGGGTCAATCTGACCCGGATACAATACCAGGACAGACTGACAGAGAGAAAAAAAAAAAAAACACACACACACACACACACACACCACACACACACACACACACACACACACACACACACACACACACACACACACACACACACACACACCACACACACACACACACACACACACACACACACACACACACACACACACACACACACACACACACACACACACACACACACACACACACACACACACACACACCCACCACACACACAACACACACACACACACCACACACACACACACACACACACACACACCCACACACACACACACACACACACACACACACACATATTTTTTAAACCTTGAAATATGTCCCGGGTCAATTTGACCCGAACATTACCAAAGGGTGCGAAATGAAAAAAATAACACAAGGGTTAAGCTAACAGAGCAAACACGCAACAGCCATCTGCTTTGACAGGAGATGTGGTTCAGTGAAGCATGACTCACACAAGCTAAATGTAAAAAAAAGTTTAAGAAATGACCTAAATACATATAATTATAGTAGCTTTAGTTTACAGGAATGTGTATTTTCCACAAGACCCAAAGGATCATTGCATTTATATAATTATAAATAAAATAAACACTGGTAACTTTAAAAAGAGTATTTTAATTAACATTGTATTTTAAAATAACTTTATTCAACTTACCTACAAAGCTGCAGAGGAGAAAGAGTGTTATTATCCCCATCGTATTAAGTAATGTGTGATCCAAAGATAACAAAATGTACTGAAATACTTTAGAGAGAGTTCTTTAAACACCGATCCCAGTCTCCGCTGATATTGTCTGCACAGCTTTTGTCTTGTTTTTCTCTCTGTCAGGATTTATGCTTGAATGAATTTGGATTGTCCCACATTTGCATAAAAGTTATTTCTGCATGCTTTCAAAAATAGATTGTATCATGTTACTTTCTTCATGAAGAACCAATATTTCCCTTAACCCTCCTATTGTCTTCGTTTCCCCCCCTTACTTTGGTGTTCGTGGTCAAATTTGACCGGTCCTGTTTTAACTGCTATTACATTAACACAAAAAACATTAATCGTCACCAAATTTCCTTTAACACCCTTTCAAACTGTAAATATTGTATCAGACTACTGGTATACATGAAACACTGCAGTAAATATACAAAGAATAGACACTGAACATGTATTGCGTGTACCAGGTGTGATCCATGTGGGGTGATGGGCACATAAGGGGGGGGGGAACACATCTAGAGTATGTGTGTGTGTGTGAGTGTGGTTGTTTGTGTGTGTTTATCTAATCCGGATGGTTACTAATTCCTTTTCTTTATGGCGGTCATTTTTGACCGGTAACACTATGGGTGTTACAAAGTTGACTAAATCATCCAAAATTCAATGAAAGTGGTGATCAGCTATTTTATATGTTCAAATGTCTACTGTGAAGGATATCATAAAGCCTTAAAGGTGGGGTATGTAATTTTGGAGAAACCAGCTGGAGTGCGCTAGAATTTTCTCATACTGATATTCTGAACAATCTGTGCTGTTGTATTTGCTGTAAAGTGTCTACTGTAGGCTATTTTTATTATATGTAGGCCTACAGCACTTTGGCTCGACCAAAAATCGTTTATAAATGTGCTATATAAATAAAACTTGATTTGATTTGAATTTGAAAATACACGACCGGAAAAATCTGCCACTTCCTTACAGAGCCCCTCCTCCAACACACACGAACGCGCACATGACCAATGAGGACACGAGATACGTTTGTACACAGATGGAAGGCTGACAGGCAGGTAGGCCATCCAGTTACTTTAGCCGGGCCGGCTCGGATGATTGGTCGTGCTTTTTACAGTACTACGCGGCTTCCACAGATGACATTTTTTAATGGATTTTTTGTCAAAGATATTCATTGCTATCGGGATGTTAAGAGCATTCCATGGAATATAACAAAAAGTGTATCTCGAGCCGGTTTCTCAAACTACCTACCCCACCTCACTTTAACTGGCAGCGCCATATGTAGAGCACATTTTGTGTCTTGATATCTTGTTGAAAAAAAAAGTTGAACTCCATCTGATTCAGCCAGCTCTATCCTTGGTTGACATGTGATGCACAAACAAACCTCTAGATGTCACTGTGGTTCGAACAGAAAGCCCTTCAGCTAGCTTCCACTGAGGAAGTTGGCAATGCTAAAAATCACTGCTGAAGAAATCACTCTTTTTGGTCAACTTTTGGTAAGGTAACCATATCCTCTTTGACATATTTTAGTGGCAGTGCACTGAGCTGAACATAATTATATACTTGATGCATAAAAAAAGTTTTAACAGGGTGTAATTTATTTTTTTTTAAAGTGCTCAACCATCGGTCGATTTGGCCTTTTATGGTAAACTAGCAATATGACTTTTTTCAGAGTTTCAGAGATGTTTTTCAATAAAACATGGTAATTAAATAGCTAGATTCATGGTAATATTACATCATCTAGTACTGCCTTATGAGTCTCAGAGTGAAAGAGTGATATAATTTATATAGCACCTTTCACGCATTGGCATTCAGCCCAAGTTGCACACAGATGAGCAAGTTAGGCCAACACAGGATATAGACATTTGGCTGTTAGGCCAGTGGTTTCCTGTTAGGCCAATTCAGCATATACAGTAAGATTAGCAAGTCTTTTTTTTATTATGAAAAACACTTTACATTACTTTTTTCCATTTTATTTTTTGTTACAATTATAATTTATTATCTTTTATGAATATATCTGGTTGTATATATGCTCATTTTCCATAAAAGAAACACATGTATTTGAGTTTGTGCTTTATTTGAGTTTGATGCATACAAATACTGTACTGTATATGATGATTGTTGAAATGCACTTTTAAGATAAAAGGCCAGCTCGACCAGTGGTAGAGGCTCATAAAAACAAAACTGTGTGGTCAGTCAAAACAATTAAAATTGTTTGTGGTTATTTGTGGTCCATTTGATAAGAAAATGCAAACAAATAATTTTCCCATAGCTTTTCTCTTGGTCTGGCAGTTAAAGGGTTAATGCAATCGAATGTAAAACAAAAAAGTTATGATTGATGAAAGTAGTAATCGGTCAGATTTGATCCGAAAAACAACGGAGGGTTAATATACGCTGTATTTATTAAAGATAAATATGGTTTATTAAATCAGCATAGGCCTCCATGTGTTATAAAGAGTAAAACCAAACTAATTTCGAACCACATACAATAGCTAAGTTATTTTTAATTGGCTAATAACTACATAAAAATGACAAAACAGGAATTTATTTCCCCAATTTATTAAAAAGTGAAGAATTTAAAAACAGAACGTACCACAAATGGTCTTTAAGAATACATCAATTAAAGAGCCTCTTACACAATAAAAAAAATCAAAAACCCAAATACACAGTATAGTTCTTGCATATTCATTGTTTATAGATAGACATGATGGCAGACGCCTGTATGACAAGGAGCAGGGTCTTCACTGAGCGCAGACCCCACTGTGGGATGTAGGCGGACACAGAGTCCTGGGATTATCAATATTCAATCAATGCTCGTTCTGACTTCGTCTCTCGCGGGAAAGACGGTGCAAACAGAGCAACAGGATTGTGTTCAAAGACAACGTGATCATCTGGACAAGGCACCATTCTATAAATACATTTGTCTATACATCTAGGTATGTGTAATATAGAATGCATGAGGGAAAGCATCTGAGAGAGCGAGAAGTGCCTGTAGCAGTCGTTCACTGCAGTTTGATAGTAAAACATCTGCTCGAGATGCTCTGTATTACAGTATCCGCATTGGTGAGCTTTAACAGCAGAGCGGGTTCACACTTTAACGTGCACCCCTAGACCACCATCTTTTGTAAATCCATTCATGCATAGACAAGTTACAGACAAGTGCTGTCTCTCTCACCGTTATGGCCAAATGCATAGTCATTTATTACAAAAAGCTTTGTTTGAAAACAGTAACAAAACCTCCCCGACCCGTTTAAGTAAATCAAGTGAGACACGACAACATATGTTAAAACTGTGCGGTAGGAAAAAGGTGATCATGCTATCACAAGTGAAGGGTGTTGTATGAAGCTAATACGCTTATTAAACAATAAGAAGGGGGCTAGTTTTTATGCTTTTTCTAAATGTTCCTTCAAGCTAACATCTATTTACATTTTAACAAGAAGACAAGGGGAGAGATGGCAGTTAACACAAATGTGTATATTCTGCATCTTGTGACGTTAAAGTGAGTAAACGGCCCCTACAGTTTGCATTGTGGTTGAGCGGGGTCAAAGGGTTTGTTGTTGTGGCAACATATCAGGAAGTGATCATGAACACAGAGCTGGTGAGAGTGTGTTTCCTTCCTCCAAACCTTCCTTTGTGTCCTCATCTGGCTTCCACTGTCTCTGCTGCTGGTCCCAAGTGTTCAAAACCAGGTGAAGATATAATGTATTTTATGTTTTGTTGCTGACCAAAGTATAGAAGTGTATATAAAAGCCACAGAGGTGGTCATAAGGCTAGCACAGTCTAGCATTCTTCATCTTAGTATCTACTTTAAATAATAGAAGAATGTATTTTTAACTGACAACCGATGCGTTATTTCTTCTATATGTTTTTGGAAATTCTTTTGCTTAACTTGAGCGATCACTCCTGGCATTAAGTGACTTACTGCTGCCACAATGAAGCATGAAGAGAATTACAGCTGGTACTGTATGAGGATCTAACGTTTGCTTTGTTTTACGTCTTTGGTCCTGTGTGCACGGCCCACAGTTATGCCACTACTCAGAAATATATCATCATCATAATAATTACAATCAACTGCTGAATAAAATACAAAGACAGAGCTCGGGTTCAATAGAAATATTGCTACCAGGAAAGATAGACTCTTTTGCTAATAACAGTGAATCTAACGTCGTATAATACAATGTATAGCCCCGTGTCAGGTCTGTGTTTCGGGGTCAGGAGCTGGGACATCTATCTGGGGGAAATCTGCAGAAGTGATGCTGCCACCAAATGACTTTCTGTAGCACCTTCAGTGTGTGTGTGTGTGTGTGTGTGTGTGTGTGCATCTTCTCATGGACCGTCAAGCTGGATTCTAACAACCGAAGCACAACCTCCAAACTCAGTTCTACATCTCTCTCCATCACTCTCTTATACATTTGCTAGGTTTTTCCTTCTCCGTTTTGAAACATCTCTCCATCTTTTTTATTATTTCGGCTCGGTGCTGTAACACAACTCGCTGACCCAGCAGACCCCAGAGGAATAAATAAAAGCGGTAGGTACATACAAACAAGTCTCCATTATCAACAGCATGATTACCTATAGCGCCACTATTTATAAATGTTTCTATGTGACCTAATGGCAGTAAGAACCCCCCAAACAAGCACATCCTTAATTAAAAAAAACTTTGTAACACACATACACACACGTTCCTGCATGCAATATTTTCAATAATAAGGGCTGCCTACATGAAGCCCAATCTGTACTGAATAGAGTAAATACAATGCGCAAAAACAGTGTGGCCTTAACTTGGTTTGATTATAAAAAAGTGCATCTCTGTGGTGCTTTGGCATAGACTAGAAATAACACTATATATCAGCAGTAGTATTTCAATACATCTTCAAACGCTACATCGGCCCCTCAAGGCCTCCACCTGCTCATAGATAACCAGGTGGGCAATCATAGGAATATCCTTTGCTGCACATCTATTGGCAATAAAGTAAATTATTTTCTAGCGTGCATGTCTCTGGTGTGCGTATGTGTGTTACAGCAGATCGCAATCACTACAGTTCGTTAGGCAGCATCTCTCATAGCACAATATTGATTCTTTTTTTTTTTTTATGGCACCTCTCTGCAAAAACAACCTTAAAGTAGGATGTCCCGTTTGTCTTTTTCTTTGTTTACCTCTCTACCAAGCATGCATGCAAACAGACACACATACACATGCACACTCCCTCCCATGTTTCATCAGTGAGCCCCTGCACTGTGCACAAAGCCCCCATGATGCAGCAGGGTCCAGGCATGGCCTACGAGGGGTTAGGAATAGCCAGGGAAGCCTCTGAAAGTCACTCTGCACTCCAAACCAGCACCAGTAAAAATCTGAAGAGAAGAAAAGACCAAGAACATTTCAATGTGAGATAACGACATGTAAAGTGAATGAGACTGATGATAAACAAGCGGCATCATTAACAGGGGAATTCCTTTCCTAGGTGTTATAACCCTATTTTGGCCCTTTTACAGTTTCAGTTTGATTTAGTCATTAGATTCGCTAATCGGTCATCCTGAGTTTTTACAGCTGAAGATAATTTGATCTAACAAAAGCAACCCTATGTTATTTATTGAGGTTGTTTGATCATATGTTTTCTGACACTCTGGGCTAAAAAGAGTCCCATCTTCTGTCTTTTGGTTAAAAAAAACATTTAAAATGAATCAATAGTTTTACTCACAGCTGAAAAGTGTAGTAATCCAGATAATAATATAATCCAGAAATGTACGTGACATTTCAAATATTATAACATTCTCATGCATGTTTTACATGTTGTTTGTATATGTTGACCTTTTGATATCTTTAGTTGCTTCGTCATATTTGAACAACCTATTTCCAAGAAACGTATGAAACACATCTTTAGGAAAAATATATTTAAATTTGTACTTTTGAATAATTATTTTGGGGAGGAAATCAGTTTTACGGACATAAATCAACTGATCATAGTAGTCAACATTGTACGAGTCTTTTTTGACTAAGAACTTCTCCAGTCGAGGACAGCCCTATTTTTTAATCTTATTTAATTGTTATGCAGATGAATGTTCCTCTTTGCAGAAAATAGCACATACGCACATCCTGTGTCTGAAAGTATTCTCATGTCTTTGATGATGAAAAATGATTCTTAATCTGACAATTGACATACATGATGTGTTGAGATAGTTAAATGGAAATAATTCTGAAACTAAGCTCAATGTTCCCACCTAGTGGCCAGCAGGTGGCGTGATGGTGTCTCACTGGAAGTTCCCCCCCCCCAGTGAGAACTTGGAAAGGGCCTCCTGCAGCCGGTGGTGCTCCTCTTCGACAGTCTGCAACACACAAAATCAATATCACCTTAGGAACTGAGGACAGAGTCTCTCTCTCTCTCACATACTCACACATTCGCGCTAGCGCGCACAAACGTCCACACACACACAGGCGAACGTCCACACACACACACACACACAGGCAACACCACACACACACACAGCGCCACACACACACAGGCGTCACACACACACACACACACACACACAGGCGCACACACACACACACACACACACACACACACACACACACTACACACACACACACACACCACACACACACACACACACACACACACACACACACACACACACACACACACACACACACACACACACACACACACACACACACACACACACACACACACACACACTTAACATCCTCTCTTCGTCTCCCTCGCCCCTTCTCTGACACATCCCATTGCAAGCGCTGGACATAATAGCCGTTTTCTGAGACGTCCAATTTCACAAGGCAATTTTCAGCCGAGCAATAACAGCAGTGGTTAAACGGTTTTCTATTCTCTAGTTTCTCTATTGTGCCATTTTGGCCCCATTTGTCCAAAGTATAGCGCGGCTCGCTCCTTACTTAAGTTATCCTCAGTGAAATCCTCGATGCCCGACTGTGTGTCTCTTTCCAGTCGGCCCCCATCTTTTGTTATGCGTCTCATCTTTATCTGCCCCTGTCATACTCCCAGCGTTTCTCTATATTCTCATCTCTGCCTCCAATCACCTGTAGTCTCGTTAGCTGTTTCTCCAGGCTGTGGAGCCTCCTGCAGACCTCCTCCATCCTCTCCTGGGACAGCACCAGGGGGGCGGTGATGCTCCTCTCCTCCTCGCCCTTCGTCCCGGCACCTTTTTTTTCAAAAGAGTCACCGTTCTCCTCCTCCTCCTCCGCTCCCCTGTCTGTGGCCTGGCTTTCTTCTGTGGATTCAAAGACTTAATTAAGATGACTTTTAAATGGCATTATTACATGGCTTAGTTGAATACTCTATTCTGATTGGTCAATTCAGAAGACACGTTGTTAATCCAGAACAGACAGACGCTGTCAAGCACTTATTGACCGTTGTTAAGGACGCTCAAATCTGCAGAAAGAAGTTCGGTCGATTTAACTGTATACAGTTTGGCCGAAAAGCAAACTGCATGCTTCGCGTCGGGCGCCTGTTCAGCCTGTCGGGTGTTCTTCTCCCCATAATGACCGCCTCGCTGCACATTATCCCTAACGTCAATTCTTTAAAAGAAAACAGAGCGTCTTTCCTAAACTCCTTATATATATAGAATGTCTGTCTTGTTGTGGTGAAATGGTCTCCTCTTTGATTCTGCCATTATACAAAACAATTATTTGTGCGAATGTAAACGAGCACTATTCATGATCTCTTTGTACGCGGCAAATTCCAGGCAGGTTTGAAAAAAGGTTTATTTAGTTTTGTTCATAATGGAGAGGGGGAAGAGAACGTTAGAAACCTGAGCGATTATAGAGACAATCAAGGATGAATCATAGCTACACATTTCACATGATGCTTGGAATGGACATTTTGGGATGTTTTTTTTCTCATCTCATACCTCTCATTAAATAGGAAAGAAAATGTAACAACGACACTTTGAGAGCAGTGCATGGTTACTGACAACAAACAGATAACATGTCAAATGAATGAGCTTGATGATAAACATGGGCATCATTTACGTCGGGGAAATGCAGATGATTAATTTAGCACACTAATAATGCAGAAATTAACATTCAATTATTATTACATTCTCAATTTGTTTATTTCATCCATTTTATAGGGCTGCTCCCTTTTGGTTGATTTTGATGATTGGACAAATCAGTTGTCTTGTTTTATAAGATTGATTTTCTATAAGTAATGTTTTATTGTCTTTTTATGACGTTGTTGGTTCACTTTTACTAAACTTCTTATTTTGACTTGTAGCCAGAAGTTGAATGACTGTATTTTCCACAATGTTAAACCTCCTTTAAAAACTCCAAACCTACCTGTGGACTGACAGTTATCCGTTTCCTGCCTCTCTGATTGCTCCTCTCCGTTTTCCTCGTCGGGCTGCGAGTCTTCTGAAAGGCTGATGCTGCCGACCAACAGCCTTTTGAGCGACATGACTAACAGGAGACACATTTAGCGGTTTCATTAGAAAGACAGACACGCTGCTATGGAAGAAAGCACAGACAGTTATAAAAAAAATCATCTATAGAAGAAGACCCTCATTCACCTTCATCCAAAGCACTGTTGGCCATCTTCTCCTGATCGCTGTTGGAGTGGCCTATCAAGTCGAAGCCTTTGTCTGACAGGAAATCAATCAGCCTGTGCCTCGGGTCCGCAGACTTGTCATCCGTCAAGCTGTCCTTATCTCGATCTGCAGAGAGACACAAGGCTTAACGCTGGCTCCAGATTTCAGAAATGTGTAACAATAACACATTTGTGCGTTTTTGTATTAAGTGTTCGGCTGCGCTCTCACCACTGCTGCTTTTTAAACCTCCGTTCTCAGTCGGGCTCAAAGGGGCAGTCAGCCTGACGGAGGGAAAATGACAAAATAAATGAGATATTTTGAGATGGGTGAACTTTGGCAGGCGGTGAATACAACTTGCTCTTTGGACAGACGTACACACACACACACACACACACACACACACACACACACACACACACACACACACACACACACACACGTCACACACAGATACATACGTGGAGGGACTCAAGGGAGGTAATACACTTCCAATAGCAGGCGTCAACCTCATTGGCGCTCCACTCTTCTTCAGATCATCCACTGCTGTTTTAATCACATCCGTCCACCTGTAAACACACATCAAACCAATGTTATGATTCACCCTCTGAAACAAACATGATTAATGTGTGTGTTTCTAACTGAACCTTACATTTTCCTCTCTCCTATAGACTGTGCCACCAGTTCATAGATCTGAGCACCGCTTTCCCAGGTAAATATCACATAGAAGGCCTTCCGATCTAAAAGGAAAAGCCAATGAAAGGTTGATCTCACAGTGGAAGTGCAGTATTTGAGTGTGAGACTGCTGTAGTGTGGCGTGTGGCTCACCTGTGGCCACCTCACGCAGGAAGACTGAGTTCAGCTTGATGATGGGGCTCAGCATCTGCTTGCCCTCCTGCACAGCGATGTTGCTCTTGCTCTGACATTTGAGGACCATCTTGTCGTCCTGCCGCTGGAGGAGCACCAGCAGATCCCCGAGCAACACACACTGCACCTCTGAGAGGAGGAGGACGAGGAGGACGAGGGAAAGGATAGCAAACGACAGGGAGGAAATACAAGTGAAAAAAGGAACGTTTTCTGCTGTCCGCTTAAAGGTCACCTTTAATTCTAAATCCACTTGTTCATGTATTTTCTACATAAACACGTGTCCCCTCTGTTTAAAGAGATTCTGGAAGTTTCAGGAAAGAAGATTCGCCCAGCAGCAGCTCATTAACATTTAAAGCTACAGACAGAGAATCAGCACTTTTGAAACAGGGCTGAAACAGAGGGGATTATGGGTAATGCTGCAATGATCTGTTTGGTGTTTGGAGCCAAACACTTCAGACACATGCTCTGTATATATCTGAGACCTATCATATATGGATGAAAAATAGTATAATAGGGGACCTTTAAGAAATATCTCACAGGTAATTGTTTATGTGTATGCTTCATTACTTTAGATTGTTCTTTTCAGATATTGATATGTATTTATTAATGTATTTAGGACCAATTCCACATCCAGTTTATTAAGCATATTGCCTTGATTGACTTTAGTTCTGCTATTAGCAAACGTTTTTCTTTTTACAATATTTTGTTAATGTTTTATTACTTGTTTTGATACCACTTTACAATAAGACTACCCTTATAAAGGATTCATAAAGGGTTTATAATTAGGTTATGAATTAGGTTGTAAACACTTTATTAATCATTAAGAACCATTTATAAACCAGTTCTAACATAGTTTGCATGCATCAGGCTCACTATTTGGCAAGATGACTAAGCCTTATATTGGCTACTCAGAGAGAATCAACTCAGTGAGCAACAGATACCAAGGATGCTGGCTGATGAAGGAGATGAAGTAAGCTAGGTAGCCAATATAAGGCTTAGCAGTATAGATAAATGTGGACTCTCTATTTGGCAACCGGTCACAGTCGCCCTGTTTATCTCATGTCTTATAAAAGCTTATTAAGGATTTATAAAGTGTTCACAACCTAATTAATTAATGAATTACAAACTATTTGTAAACCCTTTATAAGGCTAGTCTTATTGTAAAGTGGTACCCTTTTTTTACGTGTTTAGTTTCTGGTTTATGGTTATTTTAGTTTTCTGTGTGTATTAAATGTGTGTTCTGCTTTTCATGTGAAAGCAATATGTTGCGACGTACTAATGTGTGAGCATCTGTTGATCCAGGCTGTGTGCATTTGCCAATAAATAAATAAATAAAGTTGAACTAAATTTGATTGAATAGAATAGATAGGTTATTGAACTGAACCTGATATTAAAAAAAGGAAGTCATGGGTAAAATAAGTTTAAAATCTACACATTTAAAAAAGAGGAATTGAAAACCGAAATATTCAAAAATAAAACCTTGCTCAAAGTGTGTCGCTTAAAATCAGATAAGCGGAAAATCTGTGGATTTTAAATGAATAAACATCATTATTATTAATTAAGCTTAGTATGACTGCCTTAATAAAGTGTTAAACTTAATCATATTCACATATAAGAGTCTTTAAAGAAGGTTTGCTCCTTTTTCTGCAGCAGAACTGATAATCCCAGGAAGGTTTCATGCTTTAAATACGTAAACAAGCAAAGTATATTTACCAATTGCCTTTTCCTTTGTGACTTTCCAGGTCACCAGGCCTTCATAAAGCATCTTCTTCTGAGTCAGGTCGATGTTCTAGACGAGCCAGTGGGAGAATAATGAGAATATTTCGGGCAAAAAAGGTCAAATCTGTAAAGTTGAACAGTGTATACACGTTACCTTATATTCTGTATACAGCTCATTACTGGGTTTGAGCCCCGATGTGTCCAGTCTGCGCTGGTAGTCCTTCAAATTCTGGAGACAGAGAGAAAAGGTCAGAAAGAGGACAGACATCACAGAAACAGACGTCTCAAAATGAATTCACTAGACTTCAATTGGTGCTCAATCAATACACAACGGTGTGTTGAGTGATGGAGTGTGTGTTTCTCACCAATAGGTTCTCCATCTCTTTGACCTCGTCGTTGACATGGTTGAGGATCTTTCTGCAGCACTCTGCGCTCTGCTGGATCCTCTCCTTCTCTGTCAGGTCCTCTGGGGAGAGACAGGAAAAAAACAAAGGTGAGGAAAATACAGCTTTCACAGCAGAGCCCAAACTAAAGCCATAAATCACGAGAGGACACAGAGAACCTGGGACGGACAGTAATCGATTGTTTAAATGTTTTGCTGCCGTGCTTAAGTTAGTCCGCATTTATCCCTTGTTCTTCTGATACACGTCGGCATTACTCTTAATCTACACTTTCACACAAACAGATAGATCATCATATAGCTGTCATAAGGTATATAAACCCATGCATCAGTTTGCACGTTCTACATGAACACAAGACATGGAGTTATGAAAGGATCATTATCCGTCACTTTTAACTCGTTTTATTCACCTTTTCCCCCTTTTGTAAAACAAAAAAAGGCAAATGGCAAATACAGAGCAGCGTTAGGATATATTCCACGAAACTATACAACTACATTGATTATACTGTGCTTCAAACAGCTTTAATATATAGGATGCTATTGTACATTGTTGAGGAAAACTGCTTTTAGGTCACATTGGTCTTGGTCGGTCTAGTATAAAAAAAAAATTCCAGTACAATTTTCAGAAAAATGCATAGTAACAATAGAAAGCATAATATTGTAATAAAACATTTAGTATTGGGTCCACTCCTTTACGCATTTTATTAATAAGCATAATTAAGCTGCATAACCATCATTAGTACAAATCTAAGGACTCATTAAAATGTGTAAACTGAGCACATCTACACAAAAGTGAATGACAACCAGGCATAGGACATGCGCGCGCGCACACACACCTGTGTTCTTGGCAATATTCTCCAGCAGCAGCGGGTATTTGGTCAGTCTCTGCATCTCTATGGGAATGATGTCCTTCAGCTGCAGCCTGCGGCACTGGGGCTTACTCTCTGCCTCCTGGGGAAAGAAACACACACACAGAATTAGTTTATATAATATGTGCAGATATCTGACCCCTAACATGTCCATGCATCTGTGGGAACATCCATGTGTGTTTATTTCTGTTAATCTTTTCTGTTAATCCTTTAAGAGTCAGTTTGTGTGTGTGTTTGTACGTGTGTGTGTGTTTGTACGTGTGTTTGTATATATATGTGTGTGTGTCTACCAGTATGAAGGAGTTGAAGCGTGGCTCTTTCTTCTGTCTGCTCTTGATCTGGTCCAAGGCCCACGACTGGTGACTGCAGAATCGGGCTGTCAATTTCTGGAACCATTCCCCCTCCGTACCTCCGAACTAACACACACACACACACACACACACACACACACACACACACACACACACACACACACACACACACACACACACACACACACACACACACACACACACACACACACACACTACACACACACACACACACACACACACACCACACACACACACACACACACACACACACACACACACACACACACACACACACACACACACAACACACACACACACACACACACACACACACACACACACACACACACACACACACACCACACACACACACACACACACACACACACACACCACACACACACACACACACACACACACACACACACACACACACACACACACCACACACACACACACACAACACACACACACACACACACACACACACACACAACACACACACACACACACACACACACACACACACACACACCACACACACACACCCACACACACACAGTTTTGTGAAAGCCAGAAGTAAAAAACGAGGGAATGAATAGATGGGCAGATGGAGAAAGAGCTGGAAGGGTACTGAGTACAGATTGTGATAAAGCTGCAGCCAATATTTTGCTTTCATACATAAATAGTATTTGAACATTTAGAAGCATAGAATCGGATCTTGGCACAACTATTGTAAAGTTATGTGGAAATTGAATCGTTAAATCTGCATATATCCGTTGGAGTTTTCCCTGAAAGCAACAAACACAGACGGAGAAAAAGGGGAAAGAGAGATAGAGTCATTCATAAAGTACTCACTCTGTTGAGCACTGTGGTGCTGATGTGTTTGACTATGAAGTGATCTTCCGGACATCGCAGTTTGTTCAGGCTCTCCAGGAAGTTATCTGGATTCACAGCAAGAGAAAAACAAATCAATTATTTACATTTAACCAACTGTTTAACATGAATCACCCTATGTTACATTTACTGTATACTAATAACATTAGTCATTCAATATGTATTTATTATTGTTTGTTATATCTTGGTCAATTTTGTTTTAAGCTCTATTTCTTTGTCTTTATAAGTCAATTTGAGATCAACCAAATTCAATTTCCTTAAATGTGCACTCATACCTTACCAACAATTCTGAAGGAAACATTTAATAACATTTAATACTGATTTATTCTTCACTTTCCAACTCTTATATTCTGTAATGCTGTACATCTAGCTACCTTTATCACTGGCAACAAGTACACAAAACAAGCAGCTTCACACTCGAGGTGCTGATTTACATTCACTGCATACAGGTTTGCTTTTTGCCTGGGAGAAGAACTCTAGCTTCCCGGTGTATATGTCTGACTCAGGGAGGATGGGAACACAAATGAGAAAAGGCCTCTTTTTCAGCAGCACTCACAGTGCATTTCAATGATCTCATCCAGATTGGGGAAGATGGCGGAGAGATCGGTGTAGGTCAGGAGCTCCTCTCTCGCCAAAGGCCTGTAGAAGATCATCTGGAGGACACTCAGCATCCGCACATGGGCGTGCTCAGTTGCAAACAACTCTGAAGGGGAGAGGGAGTTTGCACAACATAAGAGAAAACATAAAATAGGGATTGCCATAATACTGCAACTATATATCTGTAACGTGGGTTTGCTATCCTGGCTCCAAAATGGTGGAATGAGCTCCCCATTGACATCAGGACAGCAGATAGCTTACACACCTTCCGGCGCAGACTGAAAATTCATCTCTTTCGACTCCACTTCGAGCGATAGAACTATTAACAAAGCACTTATATACTAATAAAGGGCTGGCTTACCTAAAGCCAGTTGAGTAGCACTTGAAATGTTTTAGCTCTATGAAACCTGATGTACTTATATGATTCTGTTTTCTTCAAGGTTGTATTTTGTTGGTCGAACGCACTTATTGTAAGTCGCTTTGGATAAAAGCGTCAGCTAAATGCAATGTAATGTAATGTACAGCTGTTTTATTCAATTAAATGAAATTCAAATATATTTATATAGCCCAATATCACAAATCACATTTGTCTCAGAGGGCTTCACAAATCAACAAACATGAATGATAATACAGTAAAATGACAAGATAAATGTGAAAATACCAATGAGTGGGTACATAACACAATGACACAAATACAGTTAGAATACAATAATTACAATTCCATAAAACGAAAGGTCCATGAGGATGTTTAAAGTGGACCTATCATGCTATATTTGAATGATATATTGTAGGGCCATACCTATATAAAACATGTCTGCGAAGTTTTTTTTTCAAAATACCAAACAGATCATGCATTTTAGCCATGCCTCATTTCGCTCTATTTGCTCTTTTCCAGCCCTGTCTTCACAAGGGCTGAATCTGTGAGAAGTCTTCTTCGCTGCTTTTGTGGCAGACTACAGCGCCACCTACAGGCCTGGCATATGTACTACAGCGTCTCCAGCGCTTTCGAACGGCAATGGCCGTGGCTGCCTCCTCCTGATAGGTGGAGAGTTGCCCATATAGGCGGAGCTCCTCATTTCTGACGTCAGAGATATTTCAAATCTGTATCAGTCTGGATCAGATCCGTTGCAGCCCCGTTTTTAGAGATTTGGGTATGGAGGAAAAGAGAGAGGGTTGTGTTTTCTGACACTTGGTGAGTTCCCTGACACACCGGGGACACATATTCATGTATAAAAGACGTACAAAAGTGCATTTTGCATGATAGGTCCCCTTTAAATCAGAATACCTTTATTAGTCCCACGGAGGGGAAATGTGCGTAGTTACAGCAGGAAAAAGAGCCACAGACAGCTTAATGTTACATATGTTAAATATGTGACATGCATTAAAAAAAAGTACTAAGTTATGATATAATACAAAATTAAAAAGTTACATAATTTAAAAAAAATACACATCCTGTAACAGTTCTTAGGATTTAGCAGCCAGGTATATATTACACAAAATGGAGTTTAAACCAGTCCTAACTGTACGCTGTACTAAAGAGGAAAGTCTTCAGCTTACTCTTGAATGTGTGGACACTGCCTGCCTGCCTAATCAACACTGAAGGTTGGTTCCATTATTATTGTCATCATCTCTCCTCACCATTAATAACCTCCTGCCGTTTGGTCTCCTTCTTGCTGAGGCTGGACAGAGCTTCAGGAGGGGCCAGCTCCCTCCAGTTGGTCGGGTCCTGCTCGAACTCCAGGAGGCGGGGCTCCAACTCCTCCAGCTGGGGGGAGGGACTGGTGGGGGAGTTGCCGAGCCCCTCAGGGGGGAGAACTGGGCCATCGAAACTAAGGAAAGAAAAGGAGAACGATTAATTTCACTGCTACAATACAATTCAACTGATTGAACAAACACTGTCACTAGTGGAGGTTGCTAACCCTAAACAATAGCTGGTTGTATTTCTAAAAAAGGCACACCAGGTATGTGTTACGCTAGATAATATATGAAAGTGACATTACTCGCCAAAATATCTGTCGGATAAACTATGCACCATTGTTTTTGTTGTTATGTTTAGCTTACATCAATAGCTGCTAGTAGTTGCATGTTAGGATCAATATTACAACATCGCAAAGCTATTTCACTATTATAATGACAACAGATGAGGATTTAGGCTAAATAAAATGGGAGATTTTAATTACTACTTGTATGCTCCGAGTAAAAAATGGAAAAGTGCAAATACCTGTAGGTTATCTGTTGCCCAGCTATGGTCTTATCATTGTAATTATTCATAAACTTTCAATCACACCACTTTAAATTGAAGTGTTTCTGTTTCCGGCTTCTCCTCCCCTTGTACACTTCCGGGCATTATTTGCACAAAGACGCTCTGGACCTCCATGATGAAAAAGAATAGCACAAAGATATATTGAAATCTCTGACTTAACTGGACCCCTGTTTTCTTACTCTGTCTGTTGTACTGTTTCATGATGTTCCCCTCTGACAAATGACCGTGTAGTAGGGCTGCTCAATTAATCGTATTTTAATCGCGATTACGATTATAGCTTGCAACGATTACGAAAACAACGTAATCGAAATAAAAAAAATTGGTTTGGTTTTTCAGTTGAATTATACTTAAAGTTCAGGGTAATCAACTGTTAAAAACATACTGTTCACATTTTTTTCTCCAATAAATGGACGATTTCAAAGTCAATGAATAATCGCATTTAATAATCGCAATTACAACTATTGACCCAAATAATCGAGATTATGATTTTTGCCATAATCGAGCAGCCCTACCGTGTAGTGGATCTACAGTCAATTATCAGGTAGTTAATTAACCCTTAATAAAAGGCTAAGACACATCATGCTTACTTAATGATCAACACTGAGCTCACTCAATAATCGTTCCCCTAAAGAGCGACGTCACTGACCTTTCACTGTTTAACTGTTACTCACTATCCCTCGGTGCATTCAGAGGTCAGCAGTGAATAATGAGTCAAGCCGTCACATTGATTCCTGAACGTTTTGTCGGCAGGAGGCAATGGGCATTTGCCCTTTCAAAATCATTCAGTAGATATCCTCATAAAGGGATCTACCTATTAGTTCTGAATGAGCTTGTCCCATAGACTGTATATATAAAGGTTAGTCGACTCTTTATTACCAATGATTCTGTTTCACTTGTTTCTGATTCTTTTAAGAGCATACACATGTATTTATATGTTATAACAATACCCAGTATCTCATTGCTGTATTTATTTTATATTCAGATCTTTCTTTTATCTTATCCCAGGGTTCATACACTTTTTCACCAATGATTTTCCATGACCTCTCCATGACCTTTACCTAATTTTCCATGACCAAAAACATTACTCTTTCTCAGCGGTACCACTGGAAAAGGTTTATTTTAACATGGAACAGGAAAATAAGGTCTGAAACATGTTGTGTCTAAAACAAATCAAATAGTAGGCTTACTAGCTCCTACACACTAAAGCAACTAAAATCTCTCACCAGCAAAACACCTCATCAGTTAAATGCCATTTTACGTTTCATTACTATACGATACAGTATTTATTATCATTATAGTATTACTATTTCGGCGATTGGATAAAATATAAATTATATTTGATGCAACTTTAGTTACATTTCCATGACTTTTCCAAAACTTTGGGGAAAATATTGTTTTCCATAACTTTGCCAGGGCCTGGAATTTGTATTTTGAATTTCCATGACTTTTCAATGACTGTAAGAACCCTGTTATCCCATATTACATGTTTATTAGGGTGGTCCTTAACATTGAAAGTGGGAAAGTCTAAGCTCCAACCTCCAGAATTAATTCTATTAGTCAAGAAAACTCTCCTGGTGAATGTTTTCTCGACTAATAGAATGAATTCTGGGGGTTGGAGCTTAGACTTTCCCACTTTCATTTTAACCTACGTGAGGCTAAACGTCAAGGTTGATGAGGGAGGGGTAAATGTTGTTGGAATTTGAATAAAATTCACCAGGAGACTTTTCTTGACTATCATAACGAATTCCGGTGGTTGGAGCTTAAAATAAATGAATTTGAAAATGTACATGGCACTAAGGACCACCCTAATGTTTATACAGTTTAGGTGCCAGGAACTCAATATATTGGCACATTTTATTTATCTTTTAATATAAATGTTACACTCTAATTGTTCATAGATCTAATTGCACATTAATACTTGTTATGTTTATATAATACATTCCATTTTACTTGCCTTTTTTTACTCTAAAATCGATCAACTGTCATGGAAAAAACAATTTCCCCCTGAAATGATTAAAATGTCTGATTCTAGTTCACTTATTTCCACATTTCCCTTGCACCAGTGGGTGACTTGCAACCTTCTCTTGCACTATTTTATTTCTAGCACTATTTCTATTTGGTTTTATGTCTTAAGTTTATTGTGTGTGGGAATTCAGATTGAAATTGCAAAAACTATCCTAAAGCTATTTGACAAAAAAGCCTTTCAATTCTGAATATTAGAACGGCTGCTGTCATTCTGTTGTTGACAGTCTGTCCCTGCTGTGCACCTCTCAATCAGAGAGGCATTAAGAGGGGGGTTTGTCCATCTTACGGATGGAGGTGGTGGGGGATGAGCATGACAGGTGTAGGCGGCTGCAGGTCCACATCGCTACGGGAACGGGACTGTTTGGCCCGGGAAGAGCCCCGACGACGAGAGGGGTGCCGGTCCACACGGGCACTCTCACTACGAGCCACTTTCCTACTGTAGGGAGGGAGAGTGGGGGGGGGAGGCATTAAGGGAGAGGGGAGGAGGAATTGGGATAGGAGAAGAAGTCGGTGAGGAATTTAAGAGAGGACAAATGGATACGAAGAAAAATGGAGAAGAGGCCACAGGAAGGACAAGGAGAAAACAAGAACAAAAATATGGAAAGACAAAGAAAATGCCATAGAATGGAAGAAGGAGGTATTAAAAGTGAAAAAAATAGAAAATATCAAAGTCATATGCATTCAGTGTGCACAGACATTTGTGTTAATCATGAGGGTAAAGAGGAGGAAACATTATTTTAGGTACAGCCAAAGAAGATTTACACAAAAAAGAGATGTCAAAAAATCATATCAATAAAAGATAGAAAAGAGAGAAGATGAGTGACAAATGAATATGCATGAAATATGACATGCATATACTGGATAGAGTATGCTTCATATACTGTAGGCATGGTAGGACTGCATTACCAACACTTTCTACATGAGTAACACTGAACTAAGTACAAGAGTATGTTAGGAAGGAAGCCATGCCTTGCTTTGACATAATAACTGTACTATGGGCGTTCCTTTTACTGGTCACTTATATTAACATTTCTCCACACACCGTGCATTCACATCCACTACAAATAATCCAACTGATCTCAACAATCAAGCTTACTTCGATTCCTTCACACGTCGATACTTGCCACTTAGTGTGTTTATGTTGTGTATCAGGAGTGCATGCATGTATGTGTTGTTGTTTTTAGTCTGTAAGTGTGTTCTGTATAAGGCCTGAAGCATGTCCATGTGACTCAGTCAAGGCGCTGACACCCACCTTGTCTTGCGTCTGTAAAAACACGGGACACCACATCGTTACACAGCCGCCTCTCCCAACCTCTTATCACAGCAGCAACCATAACATGCATATGCACACCCCAACATCATGTACTAAACTGGTTGTAACCTCTGTCAGAGTAGCATGCCGAATGAGACGCCGAAGCCCCCCGGCAAAACATGTAACTGTGGAGACAAGCAGGACAAAGGACGGGCCCTGGCCACGACAGACGGAGACACCTTGGAAAGCACACGGGCGAGCAATACAAACAAGTTAGTGTCCATGTCGGACTATTAACTGAATGGCAGCAAGGTGTGAAGATTAGCTACCTTGTCTTAAATCTTGCTGTCGACTTATACGTCAATCTTAACTTGTTTTTTTGTATATTTTTGCAAAGCTTTAGACAAAATACAGTTTGATATCTAAAATGGCAGACCTTTCACTGGATAGAAAGCTGCAACAAAGAAAGCCTCATCTGTAGTCAAGGCTATATCATCCGTTATAAAGTCGAGAAGAAATCACCAGACAAACCTGAAGTCAGATCTGCACAAACAATGCCTTTATATGCAACAACGAAGCTCTGTTGTAAACATGAGGAGATGCACAACAGGACGCACACAGAAACAGGACAGAGGTGTTAAGGAAGAGAGCAGACGTGCCATGATGAGGAGAAAAGAGGGGAGAGGGCATGAGGGAGAGGGAAGGCAGAGGAAGGGAACATGGGGTCCGAGTCCACCTGGCGAGGGTCCTTCTCACACCTGCAGGCTCTGTTAGCTAGCGGGCAACAGGCAGCACGACAAAAAGCACACGGCAGGGACAGACTGCTGCGGGAGTTTTACCACGCTCCCTCAGCACGAGCACACGGGCACACGGGGCACACGGGTCACCCCCCCCCCCCCTTCGGTATTATATCTCTTTAGAGTCTTTACACCTTCCATACAGTCTCATTATCTGATCTTTTAACCTGTTGTTTCTTATGTTATGAGACCCTACACTGCAGTTATAACCCCCCTCCCTGGACGCTCACCATCTCCACCCTCCTCACCTTTCTTTCTCCACATTGTCCTCTGTGGAAGTGTCCATGGGGAAGAGGGGCTCCCCGACTATCAGCCCTCCCCCGAGCCCGACAGGGGACACGTCCCCCCCTTCCGACTGGCATGGAGGCTCTAAGCGATTGCTTGAGAGACCTGGGAGGTTAGAAAAGGAGGCGAGAAAACACAAGAGTTAGAATTATTATAAAAGTTTGTTCTTTCGTCTATTAAGTGAAAATATGTTTGTCTTCAATATCTGTTTAGTTTATTTTTGTTTGTCTTTTACTTGTAAAAAGTTTGTATCTAATTAAAGCATATGTGACCCGCTCTATCGAAATCAGTCGGAAGTCGTAACGGCTCATTTAAAAATAAACGGGTGTTCTGTTTGATTTTAAATAAACAAAGTGTTGGCTTTCAGAATATGAGACTTTTATTTCCAAAATCATACGATAAATACATTTTCGAAGCTTGTAAAGGGAAGATGACAGCTCTCACTCTCACTCTGCTGTTCCTCAGCGCCGCCCCCCTCCCTCCCGCTGACATTATGAATGTAAGGCGTATAGTAATCATAGATAACACGGCAGGGTCCGTGAGAGATTGTTTTCATCTGATTTCAATTAAACAAAGTCTTGGCTTTCAGAATATTAAACTATTTTCGCCAAATTCAGGTGATAAATACAACTTTGAAGCTTCGGCATAATTACAAGCGGAGAACGGATTAACTTTACGTCACAGCAGGCATAACAACAGCCGGTGTTTCTCCTGAGTGTTTTCACACACACACACACACACACACACACACACACCACACACACACACACACACACACACACACACACACACACACACACCACACACACACCCACACACACACACACACACCACACACACACACACACACACACACACACACACACACACACACACACACACACACACACACACACACACCACACACACACACACACACACACACACACACCACACACACACACACACACACACACACACACACACACACACACACACACACACACACACACACACCACACACACACACACACAACACACACACACACCACACACACACACACACACACACACACACACACCCACACACACACACCACACACACACACACACACACACACAAGAACAGTAGTCCAAATGAAAATATCTTCCCTCCCTTCCAGAGAGGAGGAAAGCTAGGAATCTCCTCTTTCCAAAAGTGTATACAACTCAAAATGTATCTTCGGGTCAAAGCGACTGATTTCGATGGAGCAGGTCACATATGTAATGTATCATTTAAGATAATGGCTTTTCGTCATAACCCTGAGAGACTGTCAATGTATTTTTCAGTACAATAATGAAAGGCATTTGTAAATATGAAGTAGGATAACGTTCTTATTTGGTTTTATTATATAATTATTGTCTTTGTATTAAAAAAAATTCTCTAGCACGCTGATGTCTATTTCTGTGAGGATAAATCGCTTTCATTTCATTCTTTTGGTCACATAAAGTGTAATTGTCTTGGGTTTAAAAAAAATTATTTGATTTCGACATTTTTGTTTTTACATTTTTTTTTTCTTTATGTGCAGGAACATATAATATTCGTTACAACAGTTGAGTGTGCCATCGGGCAAATCATAGACTTTTTAATGTTCATTTCTATGATAAACGGTAAGCGACTAATAAACTAAAACATTTTAAGAAAGCCGGTCTAACGGTCTAACTCAAAATGAAATGATGCATTAGGTGCATGCTAACAATTCAAGCTAAAATAATGAACATGGTTATTATTATTATACATGTGTTATACATGTGAGCATTATCGGGAGAATGTTAGCATAGGATTTTTACGCTACTTTGGACAGTCTTGTGAATTTCTCAAAGATATATATATATTTGTTTTTGTATTCGGGATTGTGGGAAACGGTATTTGGATCTCTCTGTCTGTACAAACAAACTGAACGATTGACATAAAGTTGACTTTGACTTGATAGGATGTTCCATTATACAGCCCTATTATTGACTTTAGTCTTGTTCCTCAAATGATCATAAAATAAAATGGCTGTCTGAAATCAACACATACAACACAGTCTAGTCAAAGCAGGCTTACCGTCCCCATGTGAAGACTCAGGGCAGTTGATGATGCTGACATTGTTGCCTGACCCATCATTGACCTCCAGCCCAGGCAGGGAGGAGGGGCTTCCAGTGGAAACAGACTTCCTGCTGGGGGCTGAAGGCATTGCAGAGTCAGACACGGACCCTCTGCCGGGACCCAGACCCTTTCGCTCCGGATTCACCTTCTCCTTTTCCGCTGAAGAGAGAGGAGGAGGGCGACAAGTTTAACAGAGTTGTAACAAAAGAGGAACGATGAACCAAAAGCACGTCAGTGAGTGAGAAAAGGTTTTTGTGAGACAGACAAACAAACAGGATGAGTATGGTGCAATCAGGCCTCTGTGGTAAATGAGAGGGTTAGTTCAGAGAAACACCCACAACCCTGGAGACGAGATACGTGCGCCATGCGGGAGGTTTTTCTGGCGATTACAAAAACAACAAGACAGCTAATTCGTCAAACAACCACCCTGAAACACAGACTCATCTACACAGTACCCCACCCAGGACTCCCAGGTTTAATTTGGGACATGCAGACGCAGATGGGTTGATTAGTAGGGATGTGACCATCCTACAGATACAAACTCTGGACGTTTAGTACCTTCAGCCTCCGTTTTAGGTTTGACTTCAGCTGTAACAGGAAAGAAGGTCAGGACAATGTTCTCACATACAATATCCAAATTCAAAGATAATACATATATTTATTTCAAAGGCCAGTGATACATACTTTTAAATGTCACTCACATATAGTCAGAATTTGAAATATTACACACAAAAAATGTAACAGTATCAGTGGCGAGCCGTGACTTTTATACCTAGGCCATCTGACTCCCATTCCTTCCCTCGAAAAAAAATAAAGAAAAAGAAGAGTTATTACGTCACAGCGTATACTTCAGCGGAATATCAAAATAACGGCCCGGGGTGCAAAACGCATCAATGACAGCGACCCTCTACCACACAAAACAACACCTGTAAATAACCCAATTTGTGTTCTTTGGAATTGAAAAGGATATTGCATTGTGTTTGTTACTTTCGTTGCAGTTGTATGTCTTAAGTGTAATTTGGCATGCTTTTATTTTGAAGGCGAGTTTACGCTGTTAAGTTGTTGTTGCTATGGAAACAAGAAAAGCTTCACAGCGGGCGGAACTTGTCATAAAGTCCGCGATAATAAAACCCACCCATTTAGAGGGAAGATATGATTGGTCAATTGTACTGTCATTTGACATTACTCTCTCGTTCAGTTACTATAGCGGGCCCTCAGTGAATTTACAGCAGGACCACCAATCAGCTCCTATCTTCACCTCGCAGAGACGAACTTCTTTCCTTCACATTCAAACAGAAACTCAATAGGCAGATACGAAGAATTTATTTCTTTGGTAATGTTATTTTAAATACAATTAAATCAAGTTATTTTGGTAAAACTAATGAAAAATATAACGAAAACAATATGTTCTTTCTAGAGGGCCCTGACGGCTCGCCACTGAACAGTATAATATAGCTCATTGTGTGATGTTTCTTCAATAAGACACCAAAAGCAGATACTTACTGTTGCCTGCGATCCAGCTGGGGATACCCGGAAACACTCCTCTGGGTTTAGCCTTTGAGGATTCATCCCTCTTGTTCTGGAAAGACAATAAGTAAAATGTGAGAACTCCAGAAACACAAACGCTTCCCCAAGCGGGGCGTATGAGGACAGGGGAGTGCGTGTATTGTCTGCTTAATCTGGTTTCACTGACAGAAAGGGGATGTTATTATTCCACAGAGCTGATTTTATTTTACCTTTACCAGTTTACTCCTGAAGAAACCTCCTCTGGACTTCTTACTGTCCACAGCTCTGGTTTTCACCCCGAGGTGCTTCATGTAGTAGGCCACCGCTGAGAAGATGGATTGGCTAGGGAGGAGATAGAGAAATGTATTCATTGTTAGAACCAATACATTGTTTGTTACTAAATTATAACTTTTTATGCAAGATGTTTTATTTGATTATAATTACAAATATTGTAATTCATGGTTATGCAATTCTCATAGATGGGTACATTCCTTTATACATGGAGAAATAGTAATAGTGTTGTTTTACTTTATCTAAATGTATAGTTAAATGGATAAAGTTTGAAATATAAACAATAACAGAAATAACACACAATAATAATAATATTAAATAAATATTATGAGAATATAGAAATTAGAAAAAAAAGAAAAAAAACTTAAATTATATAAGTGGTATAATAAATCTTTGAATTATAAGAAGATAAAGAAAATAGTACAAAAAAAAGTTAAAAAGGAGAAAATTAACAAAAAACGTATTAATTGTTTTTCAACTACTATATTTCACACAAAAGCTAAAACGTATATTTGCATAGTTTCTGGTGTCACTGATGCAACAAATGGAAAAGTGCAGTTTGTTAGGAAGAAAATGAGATCCTCGAATGGGGAGAGGGATGAGGCAAACTGAAGAGCTCCAGACAGGGAGGAGCGGGAGTTAAAACGAGTGGGGAGGAGAGAAAAGTGAGGAGTTGGGAGGAAAAGGACTGAGGGGGGAGCGTCTGGGGATCTGCGCTCAACAAAAGCACAGTCTCAGTTTTACAGAGCAGGATGAATACCCTGGGTGTTTCTCAATGTCTAGGAAGGATGCTCCAGAGCCACTATTTCAAGGATGCTACGTCATCGAGTGCCGCCGAAGGACTGTTCCAATGTCGAGCATACTTGGAATTCTACCGAGCCCGGCGTACTTCGTTGCGGGAAATTTCGAGGCTGCACATGAGTAGACTCCGCGGTCTTAAAATCCCCACAATGCTTTGCGCACGGACCAATTTCTAAATCTTTGGAGGAAATCGCGCTCCATTTAAGGCAGAGCGCACCTGTACGGCCCTTCCACACGGCGGCGTGCGTTGAAGCTTCAACGCTTCTGCCCATTCACTTTGAATGGGGTGACGTCACACTTTGCCGAACTGCATTGTGGGAGCGTTGCTTCGCTTTGCTCGCGTTGCTCGCTTCAAAAGTTGAGCAATGTTCAACTTTGGACCGTGTGGACGCTGCGTTAGCCTGTTCCACAATTCTTCATTTTCCGAGGCTAGGAAGGATTCTTGCCTCGCTTCTGAAGCAAGTGACTCGGAGGGACATGTCCTACCAAGCAAGCCTCCTCAACATTGAGAAACACCCACTGACTGCAGCATAAAGAACTTGTATCACTAAGGACTAGAAGTGTTCAAAGAAAAGCATACAAAACTAAGAAGTGCACGATATGGTTTAATAATATTACTGTACATGTGACGCATTTATCAGGAAGTAGAAGAATGCATTGTGTTCTTTTTACCAGATAAAGCTTAACGCAGTCACAACGTATTACACAAAGTACACATATGTACAAAGGTCATTTCCTCAACAAAGAAAATCAATTGAAATATGTTATGATTAGTTCTTGGTGCCACAGTATGCATTCTTGTGGTTTGAGCACACTCAGGCAGAAATCAAAGCAGAAAACTCATGCAGATATTTCAAACTTAATAAACAAACTTACCACTTTTCTTCGTCCATGACAATTGTAGGTCTGAAATAAAAGAGACACGCGTGATGTTACTGTTATGAAAGTGACAACAGCAGAAACAGAGCCCCTCATGTTGCAGCATCCCGCTCACCTATTCTTTTTAAGTAGCATGTTTCCTTTCTCTCGCTCGACTGATTATTAAGTGTGTTTTTGGCCGATGGAATCTGAAGCGCCTACGTTTTTCCTGATCCAACTCAAAACTGATTGTGTTTGTATTGTATTCAGAGCACAAGCTTTTGAACATATTCTAAAATGTGCAAAAAAAATTAACAAAAAAAAGGATCTTTCTGTGTAAAGACAAATCTACTAGCGCTCTTTAAAATCTGCAAACCAGTCAAACTATTGTCTAAAGTTGATCTGCTCTGGTTTGTCTCTCTGGGAATCTGTCTGCAAAGGAAATCCGACGTCAGGAATGATCCAGCACCGCGGAAATATCTATTTAACCGTGTTTTAGTCTGATGCAACACACAGGCAACACAGTGGAAATCGGATACTCATGTTTTGAAGGATGGGAGGGGTTTCCCAGGGATTCCCCAACATAATCCAATCAAATAGCCCGGCTGCCTCAGAAAGACCAATGAGAAACATTCGGGGCGAGGTCGCTGTGTTGTGGTCGGATGAGGGGGGGGGGGGGGGGGGGGGGGGGGGTTGGACGGGGGTCAGCGGGTGTGAAAGAGGGCAATAGAGAGATGATTGTCAGGAGGAATGAATGGAGGGAAAGTGAATGAACCGTCTGTGCGTTGGAGATAGAGCTCAGAGTGTGTGAGTGAGTCAAAGCTGAATGATCATGTCTTTGATTCACAGGCTGTCTGCGTCCTCTCCGCTGACAGCATGGTTCTATCCGCGGCTGCTGCTGCATCTCCCTTCATTTATGTGGCTTTTCCCTCTCTGTTCTGACAAGATGAAGTTAGACAGTTATCTGCTCCTCGCTGGCCTCCTCTCTCTCTCTGTCTGTCTGTCTGTCCGACTCTCCTCTTGCGGAGGATAACACATTGTAGTCGGCCACGGGGTCAAGGATGGATTAACTTTCCCCCAGATCTCTTGCTTTCTTTCCTTAACTGCGTCCAGGGCAGCATCGATAACCCTCTGGCCTTTTCTCCCCCCCCCCCCCTCCAGTTGGCAGGGTGCCAGGCGAGGGCCTTCCTGCCAGCGTGGCACTGCTGACTCCATCTTTTCCTCTCTGCCTCATCGCTTCCTCCTTGCTCTTTTCAACTCTCTTCCAATGACTGTTCCCCCTCCAGATGACTAGTTCGGTGAGCTTGATTTTAGGGCTGCATGATTTGGAAAAATGTACTTATTGATGTGCATTTGACCTGATAATATTATCTTTTTTTTTTAAATGCCTTTGTCTGAATGTCTTTCATTTTTGTAAAGCACCTTGAATTGCCTTGTGTTGAAAGGTGTTATATAAATAAACTTGCCTTGATATTGCAATTGCAATGTGATTAACGATATTGGAGGGACTTCATTTTTCTATTTATGATTGAAGAATACATTAAGAGGATATGTACCAGACAAACATCTTTAAAGTCTATAAAATATGATTTGTAGGTTGGGATATCTCTGCAGCACCACAGTACTTCATTCAAAATGTTATTAACACATATTTAGCCTTTAAGAAATGTTGCGCTTCCTGCGATTTGAATATTGTCCATATTGCGATTTTCATCAGATTGAAATGTCCATGCTTTATTTGATCTCCTTCTGGATATCTCTCTTTTGCACTGGATTGGTTGTGTGCACATGCTAATGGTGTATACCTACTACACAGTTTGTAGGAAGTGTGGTGCCAGCTTCAGAGGGCACCGGTCCAAAAGGGCTGCTTTCCATCTTTTTAATCTGACAGCCTAATCATCCTCTCAGCTCTGAGGGGGAGCAGCAGGGAATAGAGAGGACACTGATGTCTTTTTTGTGTGTACAGCTTTTTTATCCGTCATCCGCCTCATTTGCCTGATTTATACAGGTTTTCAGATAATGTGGTAATGCAAACATGAAAGGGACTGTTTGTTTTCTTCCCTCTGCATCAGGGTATATGCAGGAATCCTGAAGTCAAATGTAAAACCTTTTAAGACCTTTTTTAAGACCCTTTCCGTACATTTTAAGACCTCATCGCCACTTGGAGTTCTAACCGGTTACCTTGGCGACACACTTTACCTCACATTGACTATATGCAGTGTTGATTGTCCTTCCTCCTTATCTTCCAACCATTTGGACGCAAACTTGCATTTCCCCGTAACGATGTTGTTTAACAACCGGCGTAAACGGACCTTCGCGCTATCAAGCAGTGAGCGTGCGATGTCCTGTTCAGATGACGTCAAATCCAACGGGATGCCATCAATAAACTACACAGAATCACACCTTGGAAAATGCCCTTTAATACTTTTTAATAGCCTTCATTTTCGCTAAATTGATTTATCAACTTGTAATACTTTTGAAGACCCCGCAGACACCCTGTGCATCCATATCTTTACATGTTGTGTTCTAGTTGTACCTCAACCATGACAGAACATATTGGATAATAAGACCATACTCTAATTTATGTTATACACATTTATTTGAACCCTTAAAAAGGATTTTGACTTACATTGGTGGGCACTCACTCATTCCTGATTGCCTCCTTTGCAAGTAGACACTACTAAAGCCAACATCTCTAACTCGCATACATATTGAAATGCTTTGTAGCAGACGCATTGGTAAAAACAAACACTCACTGCGTCTCGGACATCTTGTCCAGCAGGTTCTCGGCCACAGACCTCTCCTTCATCTCTCTGGGGATGCGGTTGGTGGAGTTGTGGCTCTCCACGTCGCTGAGATCAGCCTCGCTGGGCGTCATACCCATCATCCTCTTCTGCCTGTGCACGACACAGCAAACAGGGGCAAGAGTTTGGTAGGGTTCATGTTCAAAACAAAGAATGAATGTAGTATACTAACTAAGGTTTCCCAATTCTGTGAGCAAGGAGCAGACTCAGAATATAGATGACGAGGGCTGCTCAGTGTATTTCCGTGCCTATGGCTATTCATCAATAGAGAACTTTTTTAATTAACGACAAGATGCTAATTCTCATGGTGCTTTCCGTGATGTTTCCTATGGTGTGCTCAAGCTCACTCTGAAAGCCCCATATCAGGGTACTTTCATGAACATCTTAATCCAAAGCAGCCCATCTAAAAGTTATAATATGAACACTCAAAATCATCTTATGCATATTTTAATTTTAGATGTTTCATTTCATATTGATCAGCAAGAACTGAAGCTAATTGCTATCTTGAAATGAAACTATAATGGTGAGTTGTAGTTAAATGGTCAATCTATGTAAAAAAAGTGTCCGGTGCCTTGCTCAAGGGCATCACGGCAGGGCAGGAGGTGAACTGGGACCTCTCCAAGTAGCGGGCCACACTCCATATTTAGGTCTGGTCAGGGACTTGAGTCCAAGCCCCTACTGACTGAGCCACTGCCGAACTGGTCATGAGAGGGTGATGCAATAGTTATGAGATTACAGCTGACTCGTTACTGCTCCTAGTACTAGACTCCTGGTACTAGGATGGGTTAAAAGCAGAGGCCAAATGTCACTGTGTGCTCTGCATGTGTGACCATTACAGAGGGTCCCTCCGATTCTATTTCTATGGAGTTTGGGATGAGGATTCTTCTCACCTGAAATCTTCCAGCTGCTTGGCCACTTCAGCCGCCTGCAGGCTCTGAACCTCCTGAACGTAACGCCTCTGGGTGTCCTCGTGGAGCAGATCTGCACGGGTCCGTTCTTAGGGAGAAGGGGGATTGAATATGAGGCGTATGTATCGGGGGCTGAGGTGTGTGTGCATAGAAATTCATATATCATATTCCAACTACTTGTGTATAGACTCTTCTTGCACTATTTCTATTCTACTGTATTTGTATTTACTTGCACTATTTTATCTGTTTATTGTTGTTGCACCGTTGGAGGAGCCTGTGACCTAAGATTTCCATTGACATATCTACACTGTACCTTTGCGCACGTGACAATAAAAGCCTTGAATCTTGTATTCTGACAAAGAAAATAACTTACCCAATTCATGGGCTACATTTGGTGGTAGTGCCACTCGGAGAATCTATATCGTGGAGGGAAAGACAAAACAGGTGCACGGACATGAATCGTTTGTTTATATAATATGGTAAATATGAGATTATATATCACATATTTATAAGAAGACTGAATATTTTTGGACAATGTGATTCTTCCTTAGTTTATTAGGTACACCTATATAACATGTAAGCAATCTAATACAGCCGTCCTGCAAAAAAGGTTATAATGTTCAGTTGAAGGACAGGGTTTCGATTATTTTGTCTATCCCATTCAAATCAATAAAAGGTTGGCTAAATTAAAAAAACCTGTATAATGCAATACAGGTGAACAGGAACACATATTAAAGCCCGTAAAACAACCATGAAGTTGAATTAAAACCTCTTTGTACCAAAATCAGTGCTAAATTAGGAATACATAACAAGTGGCACGAGTGCAGGAGTGTACATGTATAATGGGTTCTTTGTTATGTGTGGCCCAAAGCAATGCTGTGTAGTATATTCTGATGTGTGCAGTAGCTACATATCACCACAAGGGGGCATTTAAACACCAGAAATAACCCAACAACTACAGGGAAACAACCGTCCACATATGAGAGACTGAGCTGTGTCACTGACATGAAAATAACCACACGGGCCAAGTTTAAGTCAATGGGTTTAACAAAGATGAAGGATCAAAATAAAAGGGGCTTTCCCACGATCCTGACAGGAAGCTGAGGGGTTTGGGTGAAATACAGACAGACAAACAGAAAGGGAGTGAGAGCAGCACAAACCAGCTGGGCTGACAGACATGTGCAGAGCAGGAAATATCACAGAGAAGTGACAGAGGCTACGTGTGCAGGGAGGAGTAATGGAAAGTGACACACAGAAACGGAGAAGAGAGTAAAGACACAGCCGTGCGCTCACAAACAAAACATGAGCACACAATGTCTCTCCTGAGTTTAACTATAGACTACAGCTGTGTGGTATATCAGATTCCCATCGATACAACACAATGAGAAGAAAGTCTAATATCTGTGTTGCTGTGTTTATCTGAGTAGATTTTGATATAATACGCACCGAACACTGAAAGAGAAAGTATTAGCCATTAACCGACACAAATCTTTTAAGTTGAGAACCAGGAAAACAAAAAGAAGATTTAAGTCTGCCGGTACAGGACTATGATGGAGGCGTTTCAAACCATGGTGCAAACATGAGTTTATTTATATAGGTATATACATATTTGTATACATATTTTTATATATATTTGTATTCGGGATTGTGGGAAACGGTATTTCGATCTCTCTGTCTGTACACACAAACTGAAAGATTGACAATAAAGTTGACTTTGACTTTGAATTTCAGAACAAAGTCATTTCTTATTCTGTTGTTATTTTAACATACATTAGTGCTGCTCAAATGTAAGCTAACACGTTTCAGCTCACCATGAGAAATTAATACTGTAATGATCCTATTCAAACTAGTTTTGGCAGATCTCAATAAGTTGCACTTAAACTCCTAAACAAGAGCTGTGACATCCTTAACCCCCCAAAACCCACAAGGGACGTTCAAACTAAAAATACGCAGGGCTGAACGTCCAAACACACTTTAGGAAACTGGAGTCAGACGTCATCTCAAGGTCATCAGACGAACTGTGCTTCCTTACAGAAAAGCTGATCAATGCATATTGTCAGAGGGGGTTCCTCTCCCCCACACATGTAACACTCGCGCTTCAAATGGCCAGCGCTCCAACACGTTGGGATCTGAGAAGGGGACCTATCACAACAGAGCCGGCCAGCTAACCAATCAAAGCAGACTGGGCTCTGGTTTCAGACGGAGGGTGAAAAGAGGTGCTGCAGCACAGGTAGTATGAGAGAACCAAAGAGCTTTTTGAACATTAGAGCACGGAGACATGTCCCAGTAGACGAGGCACTAAATACATATATGAACCTGAACATGATCACAATAGGGTCTCTTTAACTCAGTGTGTGCTACTTACTGCCCCTTTGTCCAAGAAGGTGTTGTAGAACTCCACAAACTGCTTCTTGGTTTCTTTGGCACTGAGGTTTTTGAAGAGGTCAGCATGGAGGTAACACAGCTGAGAGGAGACAGGGGAGAGAAGAGCAGTGAGCAGACATTTAAACACATTTTCATATATCCTGTATGCTGTGATAACGCACTCCAACGGTTCTGCTTTACATGCACAATTAACCCAGTATTTGATTTGACATCTCATGTGGTATGTTTTAACACATATGATATATACAAATATATTTCACCTGACCCTAGAGTCAAGCTGCTGACATAAAATGAACATGTGCTGTTCATCAAAACACAGACACTAATTGGGTGATTTAATCATAATCACAATGAGTCGTAAAATAAAAGTCACTGTCAGCCATCCATGCACATCCCTCATCTCAATAAGTCATTAGACACGAATAACTGCTGCTTTAAACACTGCACTTCTTAAGTTTGGGTTTTCTACTCTCTACGTGGAGCTCCATTAGGTGAAGGCGGGGGAGTCAATGAGAGAAAATGTGTACTATTGTCTATATAGCCATTTCAAATCCACTCTTTAGTAAAAACTCAATATACGTGATGTTTTATACAAACTACGGATGCACAATACATCTTAAAATGTGTCTAGTAAAAGGTGCAAATCTGACGCTCTGAATATCTCAGTGTCCCGCGCTTGGCCAGCTGCAGACAAACGTTGCCGTTAAACAGACCTGCAGTGTAGCATTAACTGGTTTCGTATATACTTTAGTTTTACGGCTAAACTAAGACTTCTTTAGAAGCCGTCTGCTTGTTGTGTGTACCCCAAAGGACTTTGTTTACCAGTGGAGCTGCCAGACATCTCAGTTTATACGACTCAGTAAATAAAAGTGTATCATGATCGAATCAACAAAAATAAGACACAGGTTGTTGTGCAGTAGCAATAAGAAGAAATGTGCAAAATACAACATGTTCAAAAGCACATCCTGTGTAGTGATGGTGTTGCATTGTGGGGGTTGTAGTCCTCACCAGGGGAGCGGGTTCAAACTGTAGGATGACATGTTGCATGAAGACCAGCAGGTGGGTCGGCCGTGACTTCAACAGATCGATGTTGTTGAAGTGTGTGCACTGGTCCTCCGTCACCTGAGACACAGATCAGTCCGAGACCCCAGAGTCAAACAATGTATAAAAGAAAAAAGTTGTATTGCAACACAAAACCTTAAATGCAAAGTCATATGTATTGTTATCTGTCCGTTGAAAGACACTGTGGCGAGCGACCTCAGGACAGAACACAGGAACATGTTAACAAAGTACACACTGAGTGCCTGGTTTTAGTAACAGGCAGAGATAAGAAAAACATGGCGGCACAACAGAGCGACTAACTGTGAGGAGGAACCGATAAAGACACAGAGCAGCACTTCCTCACAAAAGTTCAACCTAAAAGAACTCCATAGTTGATCAGAACATCTAAATGGTACTGGGGTAAATGAAAGAAAGCTGCATTTTTCTGTTTGCAATGTTTCTATCAGCTTTGTGTTAGAGGGTTTCTTTATTCTTGCAGAGAGGTTGAAACATATGTTTGTGGATCTGAACAAATTGACATGTTTATATACTTACGAATTACACAACTGTTTGTTTCTGCCTGCCACTAACTGGGGGAATCAGCCCGACTTGTGTAATCTACGCCAGGCCTCACATCTCTTTTCTTTTACTTGTGTAATACGTGTTTGAATTATCAGCAATATCCTTCAGAATGACAGCAGATTACGACAAAATGACTCTCGGCTCGTCTCAGTCTCAAGCAACTTATTTTTGTACTCACATCATTCAGATCATTCTCGAAATCCTCATCCTCAGCCCCGATGATGCTCATGGCTGGGTTAGAGCACTGAGCCCCAAACTCGCCCTGCTATGCAGAAAGAGGGAGGGAGGGAGGGAGAGAAGAGGGGAAGAAAACAAGACAATTAGCTAACATAATGGGCCATACTTTGAACCGGTAGGCTTCCTCTTTGACGTCCTGAGCCCCCGCTGAGCCGAGCCAGACATAAAGAAAGATTAAGGTTTGGACACAGTGAACTTTCCCAGTGAGAAATCACATCAAGCGGAAAGCAGGAAAACTTCCCAGCATCCGATCACGCCTTCCTCGACGGAGACGGAGACATGCAGGCTGATATGTCTACGAGTATGATGCCTTTTTATATGAGCAAAGTAAGGTAACGAAATATAAAGCAGCAGCTACAGGTACAGCTAATCTCTCCTGTAATGAATCATGTGACTGCTGGAAAAGAGTTCTATCAAGTCCTGTGTCCCACATTCACACTTTAACATTACTTTGAAGTGTTAACATCAAGGGGGAATCATTCAGTGTGTAACATTCATTGCAAATAGCATAACAAGTTGAGTTTTCCCTAAAGTTTGGCCAGTTTCTGCCTCTGGAAATTACTTTTCTGACTAGTGTTGTGTTCAAACGCTCCGCTAGCTGCCATGACGTATTCCCTCCCTGTCGAAAAAAAAAGGAACACATCTGAAAAAAATGAAAGGTTATGCCGATCCTTGCTTTTGAAATCCATGAATTGGAAGCAAAATACATCGGAACGGGTGACCGACTTCCCCCCACCTTTTACACCCTACACCACTTCCGTCCCTACACACACACACACACCTAAAACACACAAACAACACAAAGCTCTTGTATTGAGTTCTCCGAAGGCCGCAGACCCAGCGCCGCTATAGGGAACACCCAAACACACACATCAAAGAGCGACGGATACACTGTACAACATTTACCATTGTCCACTGCTGAGTGAGTACAGAGGGCAGAGAGAAAGTGAGAGTGAGTCAAAAGTAATGAGAGGAAAAAGTGAGTCCAATAGTCCCGGGGGGGAAAGAAAAAAGCCTTGAGAAACTTTAAGTTCGGAACACTTTGTTTGGGTTTTCTATTATATAGATTCAGAGTCATGAATAAGCTCTGTACACATCCAGGTTTAATTTCCATACTGTATGCGTGATGGTATTGAGTGAGAGTACCTGAAGGTCATCAGTGTTGAGCGATAGGACCATAATAACCTTCATGTAACCTGAGATCCTCCAGCAGTCGCTATATATCAGAGTCAAGGTTAAAGACCCAATACTAATCTGGAATAACCCACCTGAGAAGAGTCTGTTCTCTTGTTTATATATAATACCCTGTTTTATAGGTTATTTACTTCTTTTTTAGTATGTACTTTTATTATTAGGCACCCTGTCTGTGTAAAGCCCCTGGTTGTCTGTTTTGGTTTTACATTGTAAAGCTCCAATAGTGTTTATGAATAGAGTGCATTATTTGCATTATTCACACTAGAACAATAAAAAACGGTCAGCCTTTAATATATCTCCTATATATAATCCGAAGAGTTTATTAGCAAGATTTGTTTAATAGCATTGTTGCATGAAAGTGACAAAATAATAATAATAACAGCCATCCCTTTGACATTACAATACAATGGGTGTCTAGTATAGGGTGGTTCGAGTTGATTTTCTAAAGCCCTTTTATTTGATTATAGGTATAAATATTATGACATGAAATAACATATGCTGGAACAAAAGCATAATTCATCACTCAGTATCTCTAAAAGACGTTAGTACAATATGTTTTCTGTGTTTGATTTAGGGCTGCTCAATTCATCGTATTTTAATCGCAATTACGATTTTGGCTTGCAACGATTATGAAAACAACAAAATCGAAATAAAACGATTATATATATATTTTTTTATTAATTAATTTTTATTTTTTCAGTTGGATTATACTTAAAGTTCAGCGTAATCAACTGTTAAAAACATACTGTTCACATTTTATTTATTTTCAAAAAATGGATGTTTTCAAAGTAAATGGATAATCGTTTTTAATAATCGTGATATCAATTATTGACACAAATAATCGAGATTATGATTTTTGCCATAATCGAGCAGCCGTAGTTTGATTCCAACAAATAGTAATGTGAAAAGACTGAAATGTGTTTCATTGCATATGCAGAATTCATGCCGGTTTGTGATATGTTGATAGATTTGATTAAAAACTATGTTTGAGAAAATAAACTGTTGTTTTTATAGCGGTCACAGAGCATCTCTAAGTAGTTATAAACATGTGCATGTGTGGTTATGCAGGGTTTGTTAAAGTGTTACTGAGTAAGAAGTGAGAATTCACTTGGTGGTTCGAGGTAATGAAGGAAATGAGAGTGTGTGCATGTTTCGACTGAATACAGCGTTTGTGTACAGTGGCGCTGTGAGGTCAAGGTGAGTTCTGGTAAAGAGACAAAGAGAGAGAGAGTGGTTAGTAAAAGAGAGAACATGTGAAACAGAGATAGACAGACAGAGAGAATGTGTTCATTCATGGTCGTACGCAGTGGGCTGCGGTGGAGAAAGGCCACTGTTGGAGCACCATGCGTGGGAGGGGTTAGCCAAACAGAGTCAGGGCCATGGACACACACACACACACACACACACACACACACACACACACACACACACACACACACACACACACACACACACACACACACACACACACACACACACACACACACACACACACACACACACACACACACACACACACACACACACACACACACACACACACACACACCACACACACACACACACACACACACCACAGCACACACACACACACACACACACCATCACACACACACACACACACACACACACATCACCACACACACACACACACACACACACACACACACACACACACACACACACACACACACACACACACACACACACACACACACACACACACACACACACACACACACCACACACACACATCCAGCCAGCCAGCCAGCCAGCCAGCCAGCCACAAAAGTGACACCGCCAACACCACCTTACCAACACAAAGTTATGTCCCCATGACAACAACAGATATAACAAACTAGTTTCCTGGTGGAAAGATGACATGCTTCATGATTATTAACTTGTTTTACAGACAGGTTTTTTTTTTTTAACTCGAAGGAGGAAGAGGAAATGCTGTATAATGTCGGTCACTCGTAAACCCTTAGTTTGCTGCACATAGTTAATCTGAAGTCTAACATTTAAAAAGTATTTAAAATGTTAGTCTGCGCGACTCTAAACGACTTCAATGTTTGTGTTCATACAGAGATCAAATTGTGGGTTGCTCGGTGGTGATTGGCTAAGCTACAGTATATCATTCCATTCACATTAGGGTTGAAATATTTTCATTAACCAATCATCTATTGAATATTTTTCTGACAGCAAAGTATGGCATGTTTGCCTAACGGCCCGTCCACACAGCGGCGTGCGTTGAAGCTTGCCGGTGGGCGTGTCTGAAACTCGACCAACAACCAATCACATGAATCTCCCGCCCCTGACACACAAGCAGCGGTTTGATTGGCTAGAGCTTGTACTGGCATATGATTCGATTGGCTGACGCTTCTGCCGAGGCTTCAAAAGTTGATCATTGCTCAACTTTTGCAGCGAGCCACGCCAGCAAAGCTCCGCTTCCCACAATGCAGTTCGGCGAAAAATGACGTCACCCCATTCAAAGTGAATGGTGAAGCTTTCAACGCACGCCGCTGTGTGGACGGGCCGTTAATGTAAACTTAAAATAAGCTAGAAAAACAATTTCTCGGTTGACCAAATAATCATTGCCTCGTATGGTTTGGAATATGCATTCATTATTTTCTCAAAATCATTTATTCAGGTAGATTATTTGGTCACCAAATGTCCAAAATAATTGTTGAAATGTCTGATGTCTGATGATTTAGCAGATTATTTTCTCGATTGATTGGTTTGTTCTCTTTGAAATATCATAGCGCCATGGCAGATGTATTTAAATGTATTGTGTCGTCTGACCAAGCTTCTAAAACCACAAAATTATTCAATAAACAACCAAGAAATTCTCTCATTTCCATACTTGGAGCCAAAAAGTATGGGGCCATTTTTGCTTGAAAAATTCCTAAATTGATTTATTGAACATAAATATAGTTTACTTTTTTCAATTGACTTGAAAATCATTGCAGCTTTAAAAGTGAGCAATCTGACAGCTTATGCTTTTAATTCCTTGTTGGGTATTGTAAAATTAAGATGCTTGTACAACAAAAGGGAAAGCTGAAATATTCCTTCTATGTTGCACAAATGATATCATCCTCATTACAGGAGATGCGGAAGCCAATCCCTTGTTATCGTTACGTCTCTTTTGATATCAGAGCTACTGTAATATGCGGTTCTGCTCTGACAGACAAATTGAAGTAGTCAGAGGGAAGCTAATTGCGGTTACTCCGAGGGAAGTAGGGAAGGTCACCCCTGCTCTGCGTTTAAAGAGCAGGAGAGGAAAGAGGGGCAGCAGTGGGAGCCTCCTCTGCAGAGACACCGGAGCCAAGTGGTACATTCCAGCATATGGCACAGTTCAGACAACAGATGGAGACAGTCTGTGAGCTCCAACCGTAACCAGACCCTCTTCCCATCACCTCGACTATATCATGGGAGCTGGCATAGAGTGGTGCACTGAGGACACATTTTCATAGGCTGACCCGGAAGATAACATCCCAAGGGGTCCCTCGACAAAAAGCCCAGGGATATGCCCACTGGGTTTTGGGATAATACAGAAAATAAGATCTGTGTCAAACACAGGTTTATGACACTATAGAGTTTTGTTTAGCAGGATGATCTCCACGTATTTACACCGCCTTTATGACTTTTTTGAAGCTAAATGGCAATCGAAAGACGTAAGGCTAACGTTAGGCTTTAAGCGAACTACATAACGGTCACATGATATCAGTCACCACCGTCTGTTTGCAACATCCGTCTTCAGGACACTAGATGTTTTGGATATTTACAAATGGGGTATACACTGAGGTAAAACAATAACATCTCTAAATATTGTGTTAACTACAGACCTTATTTCAGACATCTAAGTAAAAACACGATCAATCGGAAAATGCTGACTCAGATCAGGGTTTAGGGACTCATTCCTGCACCACTTCATAAGCTCCAAACCAGTATTTACTGACGTATGTCGTAGAACAAAATCGAAAATAAATCTCTTTGTATTGTGTTAACCAAAGACCTAATTCCAGGCCGCTAAACAAGAATACGTTCAACAAAACTAAACGGAAGTGCTGCTAACCCTTTTCGGGTTTAAGGACTCATTCCTGCACCACTCTCTCATCTCCCAACCGTGAGAGTCCTACAAACGCGGCCGATTCAGAAATAAAAAAGACCACGAGTGTGCAGCATTTGAACAGAGCGTCCCAGAGGTGCCCAGATCAGCGCCGGTGCTCCGGAGATTCGGCAGCTGCCCCCCCCTCCCCTCCCCTCCCCTCCCATCACATTCCAGTACTAACTAAGTGTCAGGTGGCATCAATCCAATGATAGCCATCAAGCGTACGTGCCTTTGTGTGTGTGTGTGTGTGTGTGTTAAGACTGAGCACGTATGTAGGAGGGGGCTCATTCCTATGTGATTGTGGGGAGCTGCCTGTGTGTGTGTGTGTGTCTGTGTGCATGTGTGTGTGTGTTTTATGCCAACTGGTGTTTGCATTCCTGACCATCTCTGACCAGGCTGAGCTCTAATACTGTACATAAGCTGAGGAAAAATCCAGCACCTGTTTCTTGAATATGTAGCGGCACAGTTCAGCATGTCATAATTCCACCAGGTTGATATGAAGTTACCCTGCAGCCTAACAGTCACTGAGTCACTGTTACATCAGCTCTTACGCAAAACCCACTGCCATTGTGAAACCCCTGAAAACAATAAGAAGTTTTCAGTTTAAACCCCCTCATGCCGAGAAGAGTGGTCGAGATGTGGCCTCACCCAGAAGTGGGCATCTTCATGGTCCATACTGCAATCACGAGGGGGGTCACACCTGTCAATCAAACTCCTTTAATTACATGACGGCGGCTGTCAGAGGGTGAAACGTGCAGTGGAGCAGGTCAAATGATACACAGCTTAAACATGCATTTACACCACTAAGTGTTATGAGCAACAGCGTGCCGGAATCATGTTTTCCAGAAACAACTAAAGGACAAAGTTCATCATAAAGTGGTTTTGCCAGAAGCGATCTAAATTGTTATTGCACCAGCTTTGGTTTTTTTTGTATCTTCAGTGAAGAGACTGTCCAGATGTTTAACCCCACAGTTGAAGATATCATTAACAGAGGTATGTAAGATCACCTGGTACTAAAACTCAGACCTTACCTCAGCGGCACGGGGTAAAAACATCAACCCGTGGCGCTTTGCTCCAGCTGTGCTATTCAAAAAAGCCTCAAAATAATAATCTTTAAAATGAAGAAGTGGTATTTTAAAACAGACAAATCATTAGAGAAGTATCAACACCAAGGCTTGTTCAAAAGCATAGTGCAGTGACTTAAAAAAAACAATGCCAAGTGTGTTTTCCTCACAAGTATGCTGTTAAAATGATCACATGGTCAGAGATGCACTCACCACTGGATGTAGCAAAGTGTACATTATTACGTATATATATTATAAACACATTCTTCAGCTACAGGTGGATTATAAACAAGTGAGTGAAAGTTGAAGGAAAGCCAATATGCTGCACACTTTGTTGAAGAGTAAGATAAACCCTGCCTATGTTATTTAGATATATATACAAGTTAAATTATGCAGTAAAAGATTATATGTATGCACTTAAACTCATGGAAAAGTCCAGAATCTGTTCATGACAAATATATTTTTAAAGAACTAATGGACGCAAGATGTCTCCAACCTAGAGCCCACTTCTAACCACACACAGCCGCACCCATGGGTGGCGCTGGGTGTGGTTAGAGGTCAAACAGACTTCACCCAGAGATGGTGGTGAAACTCTGATTCTCACGCTGGTGTTTTAACCCATTCTGTATCTCTTCCATGCAAGGTGTGAATCTGTTATTCCATTATGTGTATTTATTGTGTTCCTTACTGTTACTTATTAAGTGTTAATGATGATGTGAAGCACTTTGAATCACCTCTGCGTCTGAATATGTGCTATGTAAATAAACGTACCTTACCTCTTTAAGCTAAATATATGTGAGTGGAAGTATACATTAAGACACTGTGACAAAGAGCAATGCATTCACATCACACCTGTCCTTATCTATCCAGACTGAAAACAACACAATCCTTCAATCAACACTGTATGGAAGATATGATATCATTGAGTACAAGCATCATCTAAGATCCTATAATCCATTGCTAGTGGCTTCATAAGGGACTCAATTGTCAAAGGTAGGAGGATTTCGTAGTCAGTTGTAAGCAGATTAGATGTGTTTATTAAAAGACAGCAACATAGAGCATAAAAGTTACAATTTATTGGACTTTGAGTGCAGCGGCAAGGTGTACAATTCAAAATGATGGCTGCACCATTTGAACAAAAAAACTAATTTTGATGATTTTGACTAATATTGCAATTGCACAAAGTTTTGCATCATTACTCTCATTATCTCTGAAACACATTCAAACGATCTCTTTAGATCCATCATTTTTGCACTAGTCCATATTGCGTGATTAATTGAGCAATTTAAAAGCTTCCCTGAGGAACACTGGGCACCTATCTTCCTGTACTAAAACCCTCAAATGAGAGCGTCACTCATTCACACTTCCTACAAGCACCTGGCAGCAGAAGTATAAACACAGGTCACTGTTCTCTCCTTACGCTCGGTCACAAGGAGCTGCGTCGTCCTGTCCTCTGCTTGCTATGAGGCCAGAGTACAGAAATAGAGCGGGAGCTAATGGCTGCAGCTCGCTGTGTTTGTGCTGCTGTTTATCTGGATCTCTCATCATGCCACAGCCTCATTAGCACACACCGGGGAGATTCCTACCAGCACGAGGAGGAGGAGGAGAAGAAGAAGACTGGGGGAAGGTGGTACATGGAGAGGTACACAGACAGGAAGTGGGTGTAATTTCCTCAGGAAGCTATCAGAGGCATTTCTTGTATGACCTATCAGATTAAAAAGGAGAGAGGGAAACAGAAAGCGAGACAGACGGAGAGAAGTATAGAAAAGGCAGAAAGTGATAAAGGTTCAAAGGGTTAAAAGCCCACAAGTGTTTCTGTTAGAAATATTACAGACAAAAGTGCATACATTCACACAGGAACCAGAAGAGGAAGTTAGAGCCCGGCATGAATTAAACCCAGAGATAAGAGAATGAGGAACATTTGAAGTTGAAGTTTGAACAGGAAAGGCAGCATTTTAAACACAATCATGTTATTTTGGCAGTATATTGGCTTTAAGACTAAAACACCACCAAATGAATAAATACAAATGTTTGATCTTCAAAAGTTTGGTTATACTTTTATCTCTACATTTTGTTTTTCAAGTGACTATTATGCTCATTTTCAGGTTCATATTTCTATTTAATGCCTCTACTGGGACATGTCTCCATGCTTTTACGTTCAAAAAGCACTTCATTTTCATCTCATACTACCTCTTTTCACCCTCTGTCTGAAACCAGAGCCCAGTCTGCTGATTGGTTAGCTTGCCGGCTCTGTTTTGATTGATCAACTGCTAAGAGATGTCCCGCACCTTATCACCATGGATGTATAATAAGAACTGGATACAGCGTGGGAGGCGGGGCCTCATTCATTCCTATGAGAGTTGCTCATTAGCGCATGATGACAAAATGGCCCAACTTTTGAGAGAGTGAAACGTCACAGATTACCCGGCATGCCTGAGAAGTACCCGTATGTGCACTCATAGCGCATGCGCAACTTTAACCAAAATGCTCGTTCACATCAAGCACGTCAATTTGCGTACACGTAACAGCACCGTGCGTTCATGACAGCATGGTAATGTTTGTTATTATGATGGATTTGATATTAACGAGGCGGCAGTTAGCGGCTAGCTAGTAATGCTAATGTACACATCAATCGTTATGTACTTCTATTACGCTGTAACAGGATCTAGTGATATCCAACAGAGCTTCATTTAGCATGAAAGAATTATTGCACTGTGTATATATATATATATATATATATATATATATACAGTGCAATAAGCTTCTTAGTGCAATACGAAGCTACAGGGACGTTAATCTACGTCGGTAATATTAACTTTATTTAATACAACATTTACGGTACAAGATTTAATCATACAGCCCATGGAGTATAATATTTTACAAATGATTAATTACAGCAAACACGTGCAATATATCCATTATTACAGCTCCGTGGGATGGCAGTAAGGCGATATGGTCCGTTGTTATTGTGCATCCATGGGTAAAGAGAAACTCATGTAGTACTGAACACGTAACTTGAACGTGCCGGGCAGCGCGGTCCCGTGGGTTAGATGCGCGTTCATAATGCCGAGGGAAATAACTCTCAGAATAACGTTATTAGCACATTTTTACAACTTGAGGAACGAATGTTTTTAATAAGGGCTATACAAACGTTCATACTGGGTAGTTTATTTAGTTTTAAAAAAATTATCCAACGAGTTACAGACCACTCTTTCCCAATGTAAGTCAATGGGAAAAAGTGTTTCCGGGCCTGGCAACCTAAAGGAAGTGTAGTACCGCCGTTTGGCCAGCACGAATATTGTCATCAGACTCCGGCGCACTTCCTGGGGGCTTGCTTATCACATACAACAGGGATCACTGTTTATTGTTTATTATTCCTAGAGACACTTTCGGGGGCCAGCGATTTTTATATAGCCCTGAATTTTGAAGTTGTTGACAGGGGGGGGGGGGGGGGGTGCTAGTGGAGCACGCTCATGTACTGTCAAGTCGCGCCGGAGTAGGGGGGGCTACTGCGAAGCGCATAAAGCAGACTCTTCACGCTAACGAAGGATCACTTCTTCTTCAGGGAAGGCTACGCAGTACGCAGTCTACTGTCCCGCAGCTGCTGCCTCTCTGTTGGACTCCGGTACTGCACATTACTCACGAGACGTTGTAAAACAAAAATGAGTGGGGGGCGAACGCACTAACCACTCCGCCAGCGCCACAGCGCGTGCCGGATGAGAATGTCTGACGTGCCAGATTTGGCCCGCGGGCCGCCAGTTGATGGTCTCTGACGTACAATGTGTTAGAGCGCTAGCCAATAGAAGCTCGAGTCATAGTTCTGTCACTATGCTACAGACGTAAACAAAGGAGTCCAATGGAGGCATTTCAGGCAGGGGAGTAAACTCAGCAGAGTAATTACATGCACTAAAACCTATGTGACACACTATAGGAAAGGACGAATCCCAATAAGCATAAAAGGGCCTCTTGAATCTTTCACAGAAATGTTCAACACAAGCTTACACACTTACGGATTAACCCTGACTTATTATCACTCACTCAAAAGGCCAGTGCTGCATGCATTAACGTCTACGAGGTGACATGACTCTGGCTGTAAGTACTAGTCTATATGAACCCTATAGACTAAACAGAGAGGAAAAGAAGCAAGGGGCCTAGTGAGGAGGGAGGAGCGTGGAGAAGAAATTAAAAGAGGGGACACACTGCAGCAGGAAATGAAGAACAAGGCAGTAACAGTGGAAAGAATGAAAGAAAAAAGATTACAGGCGTAGGAAACATAAGCGTGAGAAAGTCTGGAAAATTGTAACAAGCATAAAAGGCATCCAGAGTCTGTGTTTGAGCACAGACCCACCTGAGAGCTCACCTTTGCATCTGCTCCCAGAATGCAATGCTCATAAAGGAGCACACACACACACACACACACACACACACACACACACACACACACACACACACACACACCACACACACACACCACACACAGCACACACACACACACACACACACACACACACACACACACACACACACACACACACACACACACACACACACACACACACACACACACACACACACACACACACACACACCACCTTTGACCAAACGGTTTTGGCTGCAGCTGGCAGTTAACAGAGAG